TCCTCATGCTAAGTCTGTGAAATCACTGACAGGACAGCAAATTTGGACTTGCCACATTTCAAGCACTCAGTCACCTCGTTTGGGCATTGACCATTGATTGCACTGAACAACACAGCTCTGGAGGGAACCGACAAGCACATGATACGGTACATCAGAGGCTGGTGAGAGAAATGAAGTAGAGAGGGGTGTATTTTTCGCTTAGTGGTCAGGGGAGGCCTCTGATTGGAGCAGGAGGAGAAGGCATGGGCAGGTGGCTCTCTGGGGGAGAGCCAGACAGCAATACGATGCCGTGTGTCCAGGAGCCCTGGGGAGACCTGTGTGGTGGAGGGGAGTGAGGGACATGGGATCAAGGAAGTGACAGGCCCTGCAGGTTACTGTTCAGACTTACAGACTTTAGCTGTTATTGCAATTCTTCTGCAGTTACTGGCTCGGGGGACCCCTCCTCCAGGAAGCCCCCTTGATCCCCACGCTGGCTGTGATCCCACAGCCCTCTGGGGTTTTCTCTCCCTGAGTCTGTGACATGCCAGGCTGGACCCATGTTTCTGGGTGTTTGTGGGTCTGTCTCCAGCCTGGTGACAGAACCTCAGAACCTCAGGACCCCTACCCATGCAATGCTCATCACAATGACTTCAGAAACTGAGTCAGGTGACAAAACCCACATACATCTTTAAAAATAAACTTTTAATTAAAATATAAAGCACACACAGAGAAGGGCCCAGATCACACGTGTGCAGCTGGACGAATTTTCACAAACCGAGCTCTCCAGAAGCCCCCTAGTGTCCCTCCAAGTCTCCGTCCACCAAGGGTCACCATCGCCCCGACCGCTCACACAGGGGGCAAGCCCAGGATGCTCCTGAGGGTCACAGAACGGAGTGGCACCTATGTGCCCTTCTGTGTGTGCTTCCCTCAGACTCACCGTCCGTGAAATTCACTCACGTGTGTGGGACAATGACTCGTTCTTTGCTGTACCTACCTCTCCACTGTGTGAGCACACCCGTTTGTTATCTGTGCTCCTGGCTCAAGGCACCTGGGCTTCCAATTGTTGGCTGTGATGAACGTTTTTGTCAAGTCTTTCTGTGGACATATATGTTGTTGTTTTTTGTTTGTTTGTTTTTTAATATATTTTATTGATTTTAGAGAAGAAGGGAGAGGAAGAGATAGAAACATTAACATGAGAGAGAAAATTATTGACCGGCTGCCTCCTCAAGCCCCCTAACTGGGGATCAAGCCAGCAACCCAGGCATGTGCCCTGACCGGGAATCGAACCTGGGACCCTTCAGTCTGCAGGTCAACGCTCTATCCATTGAGCTAAACCAACTAAAGCTGTGAGCATATATTTTTATTCTTCATTTCTCCGGGTACCTACCCAGGAGCGGGGCTGCTGGGTCGTCATGGGGCACGTTCAGGTTCCGCTTCCCCAGACACAGCCAGGACTCCGCAAGCGCCTCTGCCATCGGGACTCCACCAGCAGCCTGGAGCGTCACCACTGCCCCACATCCTCGCCAGTGCTGGGTGTTTCTAAGGCATTTGTTTGAGGGAGGAGGAGGGAAAGTTAGCACCTAGCAGTTACTGAGCACTTACTGTCTACAAGGCACCAATGCCTGTGGGTTCATATGGTCACCACAATCAGCTGTGAAGTAGGCAATGCTGTATCTCCCCAGCTTACACTCAGGAACCAGAACTCTGCAAGGCACAGCCACTGCTCCGAGGTCAGCCACTGGCTTAGCCCTCGTCAGCCTCGCCTCTTGAAAGGGTGGGAGGTGCTACCTAGTTTCCGGTCTGCCTTGTCTTCCCCAGTTCTTTCCGGCTCCCCAGACAAGGCTCCTCAGGCGCCACAGGTGAGTCAGGGATTGGGCCTGGCCATGGGGAGGAATTCATAAAATACACGTCTTTGCAACCCTAACTCAACAGACCAAGGGTAGAGGGCCTAGGAGCTGCCATGTTTAACAAACCTCTAGCAATCTGATGGAGACCTTTCTGGAGCCCTAGCGAGGGTGCTGGGAGCCACGGAAGGGACTAGAGCAGGAAAGGGACTCATTGAGGAGAAATTCCCCTGGGCATTAGCGTCTAGAGTGAAGGCTCTGGAGCCAAAACTCCTGGGTTCAAATCCTGACTCTGTTACCCACTATTGAGTGACTTCCTTGCAGAGCCACAGTTTGCTCATCTGCAAAATGGGCTTATGTTAAAGGTGCCCACCCTCACCTGACTAGCTGGCTATGAGAATAGGCATCCTGGGAATGGACTTTAGAGTATCAGGGGAGGGTGCCACGGGTGCCAGAGAAACTCTGACAACAGCAAGAACCCCGGGAGGCCTTCCTGGGGGCACCTGAGCTGAGAGTGGGCTGGGAAGAAAGAAGGGTGGGTGGTGACGGGTGTGGACACAGATGCCGGGATGTTTGTTGTGTTGTGTTTGTCTTCCCAGGTGTGGGCTGCCTGGCAGGCCCCGAGGGCTTGAGAGCTGTGGTTCCAGGATCCAAGACCTTGAGCCAGACGCACACCCAGTCTGGACCTTGGTTTCTTTAAAGGAGGAGGCTGCATTCACTGCTGAGTGTGATGTGATGGAGCAATGAGGAGACGGGGACTCAGGCAGACAAGGTCCAAGTCCCAGCTCCACAGGTGCCTGTGCCCTGGCGGGCTGGTCACTCCATCTCTCAGAGCTGCCACTTCCTCATCTAAGTTGGGAGAATCTTGAAGGTGACTCGTGCCCATGGGCACAGAACTTCCTCCCTGCCTCCCAAGGGTGAGGTCACAGCGCAGGGCTCCCCTTGCCAGCCTAGCTAGCCCCCAGGTTCTGCCCAGGGTAAATTTGTGACTGACACTCAAAGGATGCTGAAAGCAGATTGGGGGCCAGAGCATCAGCCCCTCTCCCGTTTTACAGGTGGGAGAACAGGTTCCGAGAGCAACTGTGGTTCAGCCGAGGCCACAGTGTGCTCCTGCTGGGAAGCCAGGCCGCCGGACTCTCACAGCTCTGTGATTTGGTTTCCCGTCTGTGCACTGAGCCTGGGCGGTTGTGGGAGGCTTTGGGTGGCCAGGAGTGCGCTGTATGGACATCTGAGGGTGAAATGGGGAGTGAGGAGGTGTCTCTCACATGTCCCATGTCAGGCGTCAGCCACCCATGGATTAGCAGGCGTTTGTCTCTGCCAGACCTGTGTCAAGGCTGCCATTGTCCCAGAATCAGTAAAGTGATCATTAAGGGATTAGGGCTGGTGCTGAGGGACAAGGGGGCGGCCCTGGCATCTGGCCAGAGGGGAGGAAGGGCCCTCCTTTCTCTGCGGCGTGGGCCTGGGCCAGGCTGTGACAGGGCAGGCCTGCCAGGACCTCCTGAGCTCCAGGAGCACCAGCCCCCTGATGTTCTGCCGTACCACCCCCGCTAAGACACCTGTGTGTGCCCAACACCAGCTCCTTTCCCCAGACCCACCCAGACTCTCCACACAGAGACTCACCCCCACAGAGAGAGATTTTGACAAGTGCACACACCAACACACAGACATCCCACTCCGGTAACTCCATACCCTGGAGCACCAAGTGATCCTATGAGGCCCGTGCCCATTTCTTGTTCAAAGCTATGGAGTTTTGGTATATATATATATCCATCCTAGCAAATGACACTGAGTTTCAGGTTCATTAAGAATACATTTACTTTAAGATGTCTATTTAACTGTTTTATGTGTAAACATACATGTATTTACTTGTAAAAGGGGTCTATTTAAAGACTAGTACCAGTGTCCCTCCCACAGAGGAGATGGGGCAGATGTGACAAATACCAGGAGCTGATCCTCACATGAATGTCATCGGTGGGACGTGGAAACACCCTCAGTACAGTTGACATACAACCACCATGGGACACAGGCACACACAGACATGGGCAGACACCATGTCTTTTCATGGACAAACCTCCACAGCTGGACACCTGCATCTGCACAGATGTCCCCGGCTGCCCGGATCTGTAGGCCGTTTATAATGACACCTGCTCAAAACTGCACATTCTGGCACTGGTCTGGCACAGCTGTCCACACACACACACACACACACACACACACACACACACTCCAGCACAGACATACCTGTTCACATCCCTCTTGGCCTCAAACACTTGCCTGTGGCTAACATTTCTTGAGCCAGGCCCTGTGCTAAGCACTTTTCATTGTTTAATTAATTTAATCCTAAAGAAACCCTGCTGGCGTCAGTACTGTCATTACTCCCATTTTACCGACGAGGAAACAGAGGCTCAGAGTGAAGTGAACTTGGCCCAGGGCACACAGCAGTCAGGAGGCAGAGCCGGGATTTGGACCGAGGCAGGCTGCTCCAGAATTCCAATCCCCAGCTCTGTCTCCTGGCTTGCCAGATGGCCTTGGGCCAGTTGTTCTACTCCTCTGAGCCTTAGTCTCTGCACCTGTAAAATGAGGACAGTCCTCATCTCTCTCAACTGTCCTGTGAGGATTAAAGGAGGTGACGTAGCAGGACGCCTGGGAGCCTGCTGTGTCATTGGCTCCCTCAAGTTACTCGGGGGCAACTAAGGTGGGTGGGGAGAGTTTTGCCACTTGCTAGACTGTGTAACCTTGGACAAGGGAGTTGACCTCCTTGTGCCTTAGTTTCCTCATCTGTAAAGGGGATGGCGATGTTGCCCTCTTTCTATCCGGTTATTGTGTATTAAGTGAGACGGTACAAGTAAAATCCTGAGCATGATGTTCAGCAGGTATTCAATATATGCTCAGGGCTGCCCCAAAACTGTGACCAGCTTCCCTCAGACCCCAGCGTCCCTCAAACCCACCAAAGGGGAAGAAAAGTCACACGTCATTTTGCTACAAATAATGAGGACAAGACATTAGATGTTTGTAATGGCCTTCCTCCTGTTTATTGCCAAGGCCCCAGCCCTGGCCTGCCCGCTTTCCTCCCTGTTAAAGAAAGCAGCCAGTGGTGACAGGGGCCAGGCTCCGATCAGGGCTCCTCCACGCTGCACGGCCTGGAGGGTGGTCACTGGCAGCTGGATCCTGTCCTGGTCAGTCCAGCTTCAAGTCCATCACCAGGGCATTCTGGCAGGAGATAAAGGTCCAGGTGTAGATGGGTGAGCAAGAATGGGGCCACCAGGTGCAGAATGGGATAGACCAGTGGTCGGCAGACTGTGGCTATCGAGCCACATGCGGCTCTTTGGCCCCTTGAGTGTGACTCTTCCACGAAATACCATGGCCTGGGCAAGTCTATTTTGAAGAAGTGGTGTTAGAAGAAGTTTAAGTTTAAAAATTTTGGCTTTCAAAAGAAATTTTAACCGTTGTACTGTTGATATTTGGCTCTGATGCCTAGTGAGTTTGCCGACCACTGGGATAGACCAAGCTGTGGCCAGGAAATGGAAGCCAGTGTCTGAGAGCAGAGGATGAACAAGACCCGCCCTATGACCCTTCACTTCTCTAAGCTTCCATTTTCCCAGTGGTCAAGTGCGGACAAGCACCCCTCCCTCCAGATTGGAGAGACAGAATGCGCGAAAGGCACATTGAATGCTCTGTGCAATGCTTGACATAAAGTGAAAAGCTAATATTTATTGAGTGCTTACTGTATACCTTTAGATGACTTATCTCAATGAATCATCACAATGGTTCTCGGGGGCAAGTACCCATATTATCATCCCCATTTCAGCACAGAAAAATCGAGGTGTAGAGAAAGGTGAGGTAATTTGCCTGAGAAGGCAGGGAAAGAGTGGCAGAATTCATGTTTCCTTCTAGGGCCTCCCTGGCCAAGAGGGGCCAGGTTCTGAGGGGAGGCGAGGGGGCACTGGTCAAGGGATTGGCAAGATAATATTGCTGGCCACAGCCCCCCTCAGCCCTCCTCCCTCCAGGATGAGAGAGGCAGACTTACGCTCCTCACTCATTGGCCAAAAGTGTTGACTGGCATGGCCTTGCCCAATTCCTTTCCTTACCTCTACTATGTCCAGCTCTGCCAGGTTGTAATTCATGCCCAGAAAGTCTGGAAGTGGAAGTCCAACTCGGAGCACATCTGAGAAATACAGTAAGAGTCATTTCAGCCTGATTACTCTGCAGTTGATTAAGGGAATGGATGCCTGGAGCAGAGGTGTGGGAAATAATGCTGTGCTTGATTCATGATGTCTGCCAGCTGCACAGGCATAGAGAGCACAGGCCAGATCACTATGTATTTACATCCCAGGTCAGGGTTAAGATCTAACTCATGGGGTGGGGTCAAGAATCAAGCGTCCAAAATTGTGGGAGGTGCCTTTGTCCGTAGACAGGTGACATTAAGATTACATTAACCTCAAAGACTCAGCAACGATCATCCATTCCCTGTTAGCCTCCCCCATCTGGGGCCAGGGGAGGGGCTTTGAGACCACCAGGTGGCATCCTTTCCTGCTCAGAGTGCTTCTGGGCACCAGCAAAACCAACGCCTGCTGGAGCTCTCACCATTGGCAGCCGGGATGTAGGCTTCTCGAAGAAAATCAGTGATAAAGCCGGTCAGTTTCTTCTCCTGGGGAAGCGAAAGGAAGAGAAAAAATGCCCTCATCCCGTCGTTCAATTCAACAAAGTTTTCAACCCACTCTCCAGCTGGGTCTGGGACCATAGGAAAGAATATTAGGGACAGCAAACAATTTGTCCAGCTAACATCAAAACTGGGTCTGATCCTGGTTAGCTGTAGGCTGACGCCTTTCATCTCTGCTTAGTCCCATTCCGGTGACATCTGGGCCTTGGGTCATGGTCCAGGCATGGGGGAATTCAGGAGATACTGAGTGGCCTGGGACCCCATTCCTGCTCCTACAAAAAATTTTGATCATTCATTCATTCATTCATTCAATACCTGCCTGTACCTCAGTTTCCCCATCTTTGAAAATATAGTATAATAGCACCCACTCACATGGCTTCAATTAATTTAAAGCACAGAGTAAGTGTTCAGTGAGAACTATGGTCAGGATTATCATTTTTAGCACCTATTGGGTCAGGTTCTGTGTTGGGCTCTGAGGCTACAGAGACTAATAAAAAGAACACCTGAGTCATCCGAGTCAGCTCAGGCTGCTGCTATGCATGGCAATGTTTTTTGTTTTGTTTTTTTAATCAATCGAAAGAGATGCCAGATTCTACCCGGAAAAGCAAACAGGGACTCAGAGAAGCTAAGTGACTTTCCCAAGGTCAAATAGCAAATCGGGATCCCCAAACCCCACAGAGACTCTGCCTCCATTTCGAGGCCGGTCCCTGCAGTCCCAAGGGAGAACAAGCCCAGGCTCGCCAGACTAGGCAATAACACTTGGGACACTTACCTGAAAGGCACCAACTGATGAGGTCTCCCGGGACAGGCTCAGTAATCTGTGCAGGAGAGAGAAACAAGGTGGGGAGAGAGAGCAGTCAGAGCCACTGCCCCTGGCCCTGGAGAAAGGGGATCTCAAACACCCCGCCCACCGTCATGCAAAGGTTTCCTCCATGCCTTCCTGTCAGGTGTTTGTAAGTCTATGCTCGCATGCTACCTTTGATGGGGTGCTCACTACCTTTCATTATAGCCCCTTCTGTTTCCCACGAGCTCAAGCCACTGCCTCCTCTCATGGGACCTGACTCTTCCCTCAGGGACCCCAAGTCATGTCTATTGGTTCTTCCCAAAGCCACGTATGCAGAGATTTGCAAGCCAACTAATTAGTCCCAAATCCTTGAAAGACACAGAGTTAGGACCCTCCCACCCCCCCACCCAGCTCATCCCCTGGCCAATCTCTAATAGGCACTACTACATGTTGACACCAGAACAGACCAGCATCTATTCTCTGTTCCAGTAACAAGTGCTTCATTTTCTACTCTTATTCCAAGACATTCAGGTGGGGCTGAATTCAGCCTAAGCACAAGATTCAGACCTGGCTAATCAGAGCATTCCAGTCAGAGCAGTGTGCTGATTAGCTTAGGGTTGGTCATGTGCTCCATGGCAGACCAATAAGAAGCAGCCTTGGTAATTTTGCTCGAATTATTGAACAAGAGGCCTCTCTTGATGTTAGGGTCACTTTGCCATCACCTGGGGAGAGACTGCTCGAGAATTCAGCCAATAAAGAGGACAGCAAGGGCCAAGGGAGGAAGGAGACAGAGTCTTGAGGACTTCATTTGCATACCTAGATCTAGCCATTCCGGAAAGCAAGTCTACCTCTAGAATTTTCGATTACATAAACCAAGAGATTCCCTTTGAAGCTTAAGTCAGTTAAAGTTGGAATTTTCTCTTACAACTGAAAGAATCCTGGCCTAATGCAAGTCAGATGAAGGATTAAAGCAAATACAAAAATGAATGAACAACTAATAATAAAACTAGAATGTTGGAGTGGAGTAATAAATACAATTTAGGTAGCCAGTGCCTAACATGGAGACAGAGCTCTAAAAATGTTGCTGCTGTTTGCCTAAGAAAAAGTTGCCTGGATGAGTTATTATTTGAGCTGGGCACTGATAAATGGCCTTTGGACAGTGTGGACCAAGGCTTACTAAATGAAAAAAGGAACATGATCTCACCATCAGTCCACTGTCAAGACCCTAATGGAATTGCCTAGCCGGTGTGGCTCAGTGGTTGAGCATCAACCCAAGATGTTGCCAGTTTGATTCCCAGTCAGGGCACATTCCTGGGTTGGCAGCTCGATCCCCAGTGTGGGGCATGCAGGCAAAGCTGATCAGTGATGTTCCTGTCTCATTGATGTTTCTATCTCTCTATCCCTCTCCTTCCCTCTCGCTCTAAAAATTATATATACCGGTATATAGCAGTGTGTGAGAATTTGAGAAGAGCCTTGAGTGCCAAGCTAAGATCTGAGAGAAGATGACTTAGACAATGGGGAGTCATTGAGGGTTCTGGAGCAAGAATAGTGGCCAGATTGACCTGACAGTGTGGCCTGTGCTGGACGGATCAGAGAAAGACCCTGGAGCAGGGAAAGCAATGGTGCTGGTAATACCAAGGAGGCCAGTGCTGGCAGCAGATGCATACCTGTTCAGAGAGGTGGTCATGTGCAGCCGGTTCTCACGCACTGAGTACTGAATTTCCAGGTTGAAGTGCTGGCATGAGGGGAAGCAGGGAAAAGGCAGTGAGCCCCCATCAGGGCTGGCAAAACCAGAAGTTTTACCACTTTCCCAATACCATCACCACTGCCAAGTCAGCATGGTCTTCTTCTCTGCCCATCCCATCTTCAGGAACTGAGCCCAGCAGTCTCCCCAGGCTGCTCAGCCCTCCCTGTGTCTGGCCCAGGTCAGCGCCTTCAAAAATACCTGGCGTGTTTGTAGATTCCTGTGCACATCATGTAATTTCTCCAGGCCTTTGCACATCCTGTAACCTCTGGCTGGAGTGCCCTCCATCACCAGCCCAACCCCTTTCCTGGCCAGTTCCTGTTCAACTTTCAACTGCCTGCTTAGATATCACCTCCTCTGGGAAGTCCTCTGTGATTTCCTTTACTGGATTTGGAATCTCTTTAGGCTCCCACAGTCCCCAGGTTAAGCTCTTCACTGCCCTTATAAATGTTAATGGGTGTTGAAGGAAGGCATAGGGTGGAGAAAAGAGGAAAAGGAAGGACTAAACTATTGACCCTCCACTTGTTGGTCTTTCTAGTCATTCAAAGTTTCAATGGCAGAGCCAAGGATCAGACATCAGGTGACAATGGCTGAGAAGTTAGGACCACATAACTGAGATGAGCAAAGAGCCCTTCTGCCCGTTACGTGGCTCTCAGCTAAAATCCCACCTTCCAAGAGGTTAGGCTTAGAGAGGGGAGAGATTCCACTCACAACTTCCAGGAGGAAGAGGGACACAGGCGCCTTGCCCCGCTTCCGCCGAGCTGCGAACATCTCCAGGGTGCCGTGGAGGTGCAGCAGGCTCTTGCCTGTCTCCATGGTGACCTTGGGGGGCTTGTTTATCCTAATCTGAGTCACCAAGGGCTTTGGCTTGCGATAGGCCTCCGCCACCTACGGAAACCAGGAAACGCCCCTCAGAGCCAGCCCTCAGACTGATGGCTTCCATTGAAACCAGGAGTCTGCCATGAACTAGGTGATTCCACCTTGGGCAAAGGAAGTACAACATGCAAAGGCTGGGGAGTGTCTATCAGGAAATAAAAGGAACAAGCCAAACCATCTGGCTGTTTCTATATTGACATAGAAAGTACAGCGTACACATGCGGACCCAAAGAGTACTATATGGAGAAGTCCAAATGATTCCACCCTGGACAAGGGCGATGAGCTTGAAAAGCTGCGTCCCCAAGTTTCTTGTCCCTTTGACTAGAGGAGAGCAAGGCAGAGCAGAACGTGGGGATTATGGGTAGTCAGGGCACTCACTTCAGGGATGAAAACAGACAGTGTCTTAGTGGTTTGTGGGGGCAGCTCACCAACCTACAAAATACAAATCAAGTTTAGGATTACTGAAGCCTTTCTTAACCCATCCTAACAACCAGATAATGAGCTCCTGAGTAACCCAGATTATGGCTTACACATTCTGATACCCATAGTTCTTAGTACATGATGAAATACTGAGAAAATGTTGGGTGAAAGGCAGGCAGATAGAAGGAAATGAGTAGGTGTAATGGGGGAGGGGAATAATGGATAGATAGATGGATGGGGGAAATGGACAAAGAGAGGAGTGAGTGAGTAGATGGGAGAATGCATGGATGAAGACTGTTTAAATAAAAGAATGAATAATAGATGATGAGCAGGGGGAATAGGTAGGTGAAAAAATGAAAAGAATAATGAATAGAAGGATGGGTGGATGCAAAGATGATGGAGAGATATGATAAATGGATGAAAGAATGGATGATGTATGGATTAATGTCATGAGGATGGATGAGAAGGCACATGGATGGATGGTGGGTGCATGGATGGGAGATGAATGAATGGATCAGAGGGGATGGATGGATGGATGGATGGATGGATGGATGGATGGATGGATGAATAGATGGTGGTTACATGGACTGAGATAGTAGGTGGCGGGGTTAACTAATGATAGAAACCTAAATCAGTTCTGGCATCTTCCCATCCTAGCATTGCCCACAGCCCCAGGATAATTCTAAGAATAGACACATCAGACAGGGACTGTCATTACGGGGGGCGCAGCACTGGACAGCTCACCCTGGTATCCTGGATGTTCAAATCAAAGGACTTCTGCAGGAGGGCAAGTTCTGCTGTGAGAAAGGAGGCCGAGAGCAGCAGCTGTGAAGAGCCTTCATCATAATCGTCAGGGAACTCTGGGGCCTCCCTGTCATCAGCAAGCTGGATGGCATTGCCTTCTTCCTGCTGTACCACAGGCTGTGGGACAGAGAAAAGACAGTCAGCCTTGGCCATGAGGGACTGTGGCTAAGGGTAAGTCTCAGTTCTCCAAACTAATGGCACTCAAGCCAGCCCTAAGTCAGCAAGCCATCAGCTGTTAGTGTCAGAGCCCAACCTGCCCAGGGTACAGGTGGGTAGACAGAGGCTGATCAGATAGGGAAATCAGTCATTAAATCACTGGCGGTTTCTCCTAGGATTGCTTAAGTAACCTCAGTTCATCTAACTTTGACTGCCTGAGCCCTCATTTATACAGATCATAGTTTCTGTTTTATTCTCAGAAGAAAAGGGTAAGTGGACAATAATACAGGGCCTGTAAGAAATACGCTGGAAGGAGACTTTGCAGTGAGATAATTTCTTAGGATTTTTCTTCCCTTCCTTAAAGATTCCTCTCACCTAGTCACCTGCAGTTCTGGAAACGTGGGTGAGGACCCACCTCAGCCACCACCTTATGGTGGGACCCTAGCTAAGCCTTGCCTCCTCCCAGGCCTCAGTGTCCCCATCTGTACAATTTCAGGGTACAACTGGGTGAGCCACTCACAGGGAGAAGCAGACAGCCTTGGGAGAAGGTGTGAGTGGAGTCAGCAGTACGGGGAGATCAGCTAAGGGACTTAGGGCTCAAGTTGAGAGCAGAAAGAGGGAAAGGACTTCAGTGTCAGGAAACACTTGCATAGGTGAGCCTGGTCTGCAAGGACCACAGCCCCAGACAGCCCCCACCACTCAGGCCAGTGAACTTGAGGCCTGAAGCCTCTGGTGACCCCTGGTGCTTACACTGAAGTCCACTTGGATATAGCTGGCTGTGGTGGACGGTCTGGCTGTCAGCATATACTTCACGGTGCCCATCTGGCCTATGGGCATGGGGGCTGTGTGAAGAGGAGGTTGCATTTAGAGAGGCACCAACCCGGAAGCAGCTCAGAGAAGCCAGCATCAGCCAACCTCCACCTGAGCCTGATCTACGTGCCAGGAATCCTGGCCCTCTGTGTGACCCAATGCCAATTATTTAGCATCTCTGGGCCTCAGTGATTTCATTTGTAGAATGAAGGCAATGGGCCTAACCTGGAAAACTGTGCCTGCTCCCATCATTCTACAGGCACAGAGCTTGAGAGTTCACACCTCAGCTCTCACCACAAAAGGGTGGAGTTAGGATTATCAGCTCTGTTTTACAGATGAGCAAACGGGGGCTTTTTGGAGTGAAGTGACTTGTCCCAGGCCACACTGCTGGGCACATAAACCCACCATCTTTATTCCCAGCTGTTGGGCTTTCCTCTCCCCCACACTGCAGAGTCCTGTGAATCCCAAGATGATGGAGGCAGCAGATGCTCTTGGCAAAGGAAAGAGGTACCACCACTTTCCTGGGGATTGCTATTCAGATTGCAGGGTGTGGATAGCCCACAATGGCTGCTGTCCTTGGAGTCTGGTGTGATGGATAGAATAATGGGTGAAGAGCTAAGAGAAGGACCCCAGAGTCCCTCAGGGTCTCAAGTTCTTCATCTGGACAGGCAGGGGACAGACAGACACCATCACCTCAGACCTCCTCTAGTCCCAAGGCTGGGCGGGGAGCAGGCACTTGAATGGGAAGTGGGGCATCAAAGTCCACCCATCCTGATGTCCCCGTGGGAGCAAGACCTGGCGAGGACCACTCACCATTCAAGTTGGCCCACTTCTTGTTTACATACACCAGGACTGCATCAATGGCTGGGCACATCTGGAAGCAGAGAAGATGCTGGGATCAAAGGGCCCCTGTGTGGAGGACCTCACTCTTCACAGATGAATGGTTCTCCAAGAGGCGTCCCAAAAGCCCTGGAGGAACAGGGCCTGGAGAGGCAACCGAGACCACAGTTACATGGAAAGTCAATGGTAGAGCTGGGGCTAGAATCCAGATCTCCTGGCCCCGGGCTGCAACAATCAGTGAGGACTCAAGTCCCAGGGATTGGTAATCTGGGCAGAGTTGGCAAGCTGTGATGTGCAGGCTCTCATTTCTTTCTCCTGTGCTCATGGCAGACATCACTAGATGATCACAGCACTGTCTCCTGCTGAGCCAGCCACAGCCTCAGAATCCTCCTCAGCCACTCTCAGCCGATCAGGATTGGCACCTGAGATAAAATCACCTGCCAGCCCCGGTCTAAGCACTCCCGTGGATAAAGGGAGGCATGCGGCCTGCTGGCTGTGAGTTTGACATGCTTGGAGTAGCGGCTTGCTCTAGGCACTCACCAGGCCAGGGAGGACTTTGTGTAGGGTGCTGTCCAGGAACTTGCCGATAACATTAGGCATCATTCTGGTCACAGAAAATGGGGACAGGGGCACAATAGCAGGAAGTTAGGCACAGGACAAACACGGGCATGGCTAAGAAAGTGCCATGGCTCAGGAAGCGGGTGCTGAGCCGGGTGGCAGTGTGGACCCAGCCTTCCTCCCCAGCTGCAGCCCCCTCACTTGCTAGGCAGGTTGGTCTTCACGCTGACCAGGATGACCTCACAGCCCTCGCTCTTGAATAGGGGGAGGCCTGTCTCCTCGTCCTGCAGAATCCGGTTGGTGGCTGTGATGTTCAAGACCACAGTGATCTCCATGCTCTTACCTATGAAGCTGGAAGAGAGGGTAGGCAGGCATCGTGGGCATACCTGCCACCGTGGCCACTATCCTTATCTCCTCTCTGCCTGCATCCTCTGCAGCTCTGGAAGGGGGAGGGGGTGGGGCACTACCCACCCGGGTCAGAAAAAGGGATGGGACCTGCCCAACATCACAAAACCAGTCTTTCCTCTTCCCTCTTGCTTTGGTAAACTCTTACACATCCTTCAAAACCCTGCTCATAATCTCCAAAGAGCCTTTTCTGATCCTTTTATCTTGCCAATGCTTCCTCTGTCCTGGGCTAATCATTCTATATGTGATGGTCTGTGCTCAGGTCTGGTTCCCATCAGAGGTAGGAATCAAGTTTGCATCATCGTAAACCACAGTGTCCAGGTGGTAAGCAGCAGATACTCAATAAATGGGCACGTAAGCCTGAGACGAGGGCACCTCCCCGCCTCCCCTGCCATGCTCACCTCTTGCCTGTGATGGTCATGCCGGTGGACACGCACTGGAAGACGCCCACCCCTGGTGTGAAGCTCAGGGTGATGACAGGCAGCAGCACATCCTTCACCTTCATGCTGGGAGGGACAGACACCCACAGCAATGACAAGCGGACAGCTGAGACCTTGCCAACTGCTCAGTCCACTCCCCCACCACCTAGCTTGGGAGGTCTCAGGTAAGACCCCTCTCCCATGTCACAGGGATAAGCCTGCCTGGTGGTGCCATTGTGAAGCAAACAAAAAGCTGGACATGAACCCGTTTGTACACAGAAAGACACCTGGCTGACTGTGTGACCTTGGGCTGCTCCGTTCCCTTCTCTGAGCCCCAGTCTCCCCATCGGCAAAATGGGGAGGTTGGCTAGGATCAGGGTTTCTCGCCCTCAGCACTTATGACCTCTGGAGCAGGTTAACTGTGTTGTGGGGAGCCGTCCTGGGCATTGCAGGATGTTTCGTAGCAGCCCTGGCTTCTCCCCATGAGAGGCCTCATGGGCACCTCCCTACCCCCACCCCAGCAAGTCATGACAAACCAAAAATGTCTCCAGACACTAGTTGAGAACCACCAGTCTGGGGTTTGGGATAGCATGGATGTGGCATGTCTACCTTTACCCGCCCATCCTGAGCTTTTGGCAGACATTGCTAAGTGATCACAGTCCTGTTTCCTGCTCAGTCCAGAGAGTGCCCCCCGCCCCCCCGGTACATCATTCCAGGCAGCCCCTACCCATCAGCTCTGTGTGGCAAAGGAGCCGCCCTGTCATTGGAAGGCTATGGTACCTTTCCAGCTTTGCCATTTGAGGGTGTTTCTTTCAATGGCGCATACCTTCAGTGCGCTCCTGCTGCCGGCAGGCCATTGGAGTCTGACTTCCAATCTCACTTCCTCCTCCCAGTGACGCTGCTCACAACAGAGCAGGAATTGTCCTCAGTGGGTGACTGTGGAGGCTGGGACCCAGGCAGGAGCAGTGACGTGCCCGTGGTCCCAGAGCAAGCCAGCAACAAGGCAAGGAAGAGGCCCCATACCTGCACTAGCTGTTCCACCTGCCTTCTCGGGTCCTGGCACAGCATTCCTTACCACTTCTGCCCTGGCCATCACACACACACACACACACACACACACACACACACACACACACACAGCACTGCCCTACTCACTCAGTGAGGCCCTTGATGGGTTTCACCCCTGGACGTTTCTGGCCAGCCTCCGCTGCCATCTTCTCCAGGATATGACTCTCGTTCATCGCACTCTGGACCTCTGGAAAGGGGAGGGATCTGAAGAGACCAGACACTCACCCGGGCTCCTCACTGCTTCCCTGCCCAGGGCCAATTTCTCTGGCCTCCTCAGCCCAGGCCTCTTACAAGGGGCACCACTATGTGCCGCACAGTCACTGTGCCCCACTCTGAGCTGGGGGCCCAGGGACCCAGCAATGAGTCACACCATGCCCTCCTCCAGCCTCCTGGAGAGGACCCAGTCACCAGCAATGTCAGAGTCACAGGAGCACAGGCAGCTGGAGCAACCACAGGAAGAGCTTGGGTCAGGAAAGGAAGATCTGAGGAAGGCTTCCAGAAGGAGGAGACCTGTTAGTTGGTCCTTGAGAGAGGACTAGGGATTTTCACCAGGAAGCAAAGGGAGAAGGGGGCCTCTCCAGGCAGAGGGCGCAGCAAGGGCAAAGGTGGAGAAGTGGGGATGGAGATAGCATGGTGAGGGACGAGTGAGAAACACAGCATGGCTGGAGGGTGGGAAGGGACATAACAGACCCCAAGCCACTCACAAAGCAGATTCTGTGCCTAAAGCCAAGACATTCTGATTCCTCAGGCCTGGAGGCCCCAACCCCAAACCACACCTCCAGAAACACCTCCATAACGTTCACAGGCTAATTCCCGGAGAAGGAACAAATACCGAGCTCACTAGACTGTCATTAGCCCTTTACATCTGGATGTGACTTCGTTTTCCTGGAAGTCACAGAGCTCAAAGGTAGAAAATACATTTGTACTTAAGTCCCCCCGGGTGGTCTTAGCTTCATGTTTATTTGATCCTGCTCAGTAAAGACAGGCACCCTCTTTCACATTTCCTTACATTTGCCTTCAGAGGGTAAGTGAATTGCCTGAGATCACACAGCACATTATTGGCTGGCCTGAGATTTGGTTTAAGTCTGTCTGTCACGCACACAGCCTACTCATGGCCACCAACCCCTGCCACCAGAGCTAAGGAGAGGCTCCAAGGAAACAGGGTTTTCAGCTGCGCCTCCAACTTGTGGAAGGACCTGGGACAAGTCACCCCATATTGCTTATAAGTGTATTATGAGGATCATAGGTTGCCATACAAATATGAGCAGCCACTGCGTGCTTACTGTCTACCCCCTGTCCCAGCCACCTCCTCCCCAGCCTCCCACCCAGGCCAACCAGCTCACCGTGGTTCAGGATGTCCATGCCCAGCCGCAGCAGCGCCCCGGACTCAGCTCGTGTGCGGGTCAGCAGGCCACAGAGCGCCAGGCACAGGATCTGCAGCATGGCTCCCCCTGGGCCACAGAGCCTGGGCTGGGTACAGCACACCAGGCCCTGTGTCCCCTGGGGACCTCCCAAGCTCCAGAGCACATCAGCCCCCGGATGACCCCAAGGGTCCGGGAGCCTTGGGAATCTAGCCCGTTAAGCAAACTTCATTACCACCTCCCAGAGGGGTCAGAGTGTCCAGAGTAAACACAGGACCTCTGGAGTCACCCCTGCAGGTCACGTCCCTCTCTAAGCCTCAGTGTCCTGGTCTGTGGTCATGACGCATTCCGACCAGCCTGCCCTGTGAGGCTGCTGGAGGTTCAGCTGCAGTTTTTCATGAGTTCAGATGTGGCTCAGTTCCAGGCAACGCTGGGGTCTTGAAGGGGATTCCAACCTGGTCTGACTCAGGGAACCCCTTTCCCTCCATCTCCACGCTATAGCCAATGGCACCCCCACTTCCTCCAGCTCCGTCTCACTTCCAGACGCCTCAGCTCAAAGCCCCTTATGGCCTCTGGGGACATCCCTTCACTAATAAGGAAACTGAGACACATACCCAGGGTCTCACAGCCAGTGAGTAGAGAGCTGGGTGAGGACTTCCCAACCCAGACCCCTCAAAGTGCCCTTCCCACCCCAAACCCCCAGAAATCCCTTTCTGCTACTTACTAAGACCTCAAGTTCTCCAACCAGAGGCCACGTGTTTGGTTCAGGTGTGAGCTGTGGATGAAAAGAACCAAGGAGCTGGGACAGGTTTGGCTCAGTGGATAGAGCGTCGGCCTGCGGACTGAAAGGTCCCGGGTTCGATTCCGGTCAAGGGCATGTACCTTGATTGTGAGCACAAACCCAGTGGGTGCTGTGCAAGAGGCAGCTGGTCGATGTTTCTCTCTCATTGACGTTTCTAACTCTCTGTCCCTCTCAATTCCTCTTTGTGTAAAATCAATAAAATATATTTAATAAAAAGAAAAGAACCAAGGAGCGGCCACAGGGCCTGGCCTGTGTCGCCCAGAGAGGGAGAGCTCCAGCTGGTCCTGTGGACAGCAGCTCAGGCCCCACCGCTCCACACACAGAGAGGGCCGCCTACTTTGAGCTCATGCACTCATTCATTCATTCACTCACTCACTCACTCACTCATTCAACTCACATTTATTGAATGTGACAGGCAGACGGGGCTACAAGGTAGACATAGCAGAGAAAGTCCTCTCCTCCTGAATCTTAAAGAGAAGCAATAGAATGGGATACAGTGTGTGTGTGTCGAGGGGGTGGGGGTAGAGGTGAGCTGAGAAGGACTCTGTGGAGAGGAAACATTTAGGCTGAGACTAAAGGGTAAGAAGAAGCCAGCATTTAAAAAGCCAGGACAGGCCAGTCAAGCCTACAATCAACATCTGCTCAATGAAGTATATGTTTCTCTCTTGTCTCACTTATTTTTAAAAGTCTATCTTGGTTTGAAAATAAGCCATCTTGGTGTTTCCTCAACCCCTATGAAGACACATATGTGCCATGGGAATGTGCCAAGCCATATGCATGCCCAGTGTCAAATCTCTTTGGAAACCATGCCCGGAGGGACAGTGAAGTTCAGTGCCAGGGTAACGGAGCTGGGAGGGGCCTGGGGAAGGTCTCCTCTGGCCCCAGATAGATCCCCCAGTTTGGAAGGCTGAACCTGGAGACTTGAACACCACGCCTGCCCCCTATTTCCAGGCCAGAACTGATGCCAGGCGGTTAGGCTATTCTGGGCAGGATTCCTTGCCCTCTTAAAATGCCAAGTGGCTTAGGGTAACTTGGTCGGGGAGGTGTTTCTGAGACGGTGTCAGCGTTTTATTTCTGACGGTGCTTGTGCTTTTGCCTATGCTGTCCCTCCCTCATAGAGGGCCCTCCCCGACCACCGTAATCTGCTTATCCCTCAATCTGAATTCCAGCCTTTGCTTCCCCACCAAGAAGCTTCCCCTCAACCCTCCCACTGCCCCAACCTCAGGATCACAGTTTGCACCTGACTGTGTACCTAATCCATTCCACCCCCAAATGAGTGCTCCCTGTCGTCCTCACCAGCGCTCTTTGCTTAACATTTTCAGATGCTCTTAGGTGCACCACGCCCCCCCTTCATCCTCACATCCCTGCCCCGTCGCCCCGGCTCAGCTCTGAGCTCCTGCAAAGCTGGGCTTCTCTGGTCCTCCCTCAGCCTCCGATGGAGCTCCAGGATGCCCCTCGGATCTGCTGCTCTGTGGATCTTGCCCGTTCTACAAACCCTAAAGATTGCAAGGTCCCGCGGCTTCCTGGCAAGTGGGGAGCCGCCCTGGCTGAGGATCAGGACATAGAACGAAGCCCCGGCCCTGCCACCCACTTGCTCGCTTGCTGTGCAATCTCAGACAAGTCCCATCCCTTCTCCGGGCCTCAGTGTTCTCACCTGTAAAATGGCAGCACTGGCTGAGACCCTCTCCGGGGACCGTGCCACAGGTGGGGCCTGTCCTCACCTCGCTGGGTCTGGGGACGTCCTGCAGATGACTGACCCCTGTTTCTGGATCCCAGGAAGAGGAAGCCCTTATATTTGGGAGCCTGATTAGCTGCTTGAATAATGAAGGGTTTAATAAGGCCCAGATAATTATCAAGAGGCCTGATGCTCACGTGACCCTGTAATCTGTTCCAATGTAAATAGCACAGAGGACGGTTGGAAAGCCTAGGTGGCTTCAGGAGGGCAGGCGCTAAAGGGAGGGAAGGGGGGAGGGAGATGGAGTGGTCACAGGAGCACGTATCAGGGCTCACCTGTTCCCTCCCCTAGACCCAGTGCCTCCCACAAGCTGGGCACACAGTTGGTACTCTTACATTCCTTCCACAAACATGTATTGAGCACCTACTGTGTGCCAGGTCTCTGCAGGGCTGTGGGGTTGCTTCAGTGAACAGGCATTGAGGTTCCTGTCCTGAGAGGGCTCCTAGCAATGACAGGGGGAGGTGAGCACTCTGCAGGTCACCAACCACAAAGCCAGGTTATTGCTGGGGAGGTGGAAGCCACTGAGCCAGGAGGATGGTGGGAAGGAAAAACGGGTTTATCATTGGAGCCATGGGCCTCTGATGTAGGGGCTGTTGGAGCTGATGGCTGAGAGGGGACAGAGCCAGCTCTGCAAGGCTGGGGAAAGTGTTTCAGGAGGGGGCCATCAAGTGCCAGTGCCTGGCAGGGTCAGGCCCCTGAGACTCACAAGGGGCACCAGGAGCCACTTGTCTGGGGGGGCCGCTCCTGGAGGAGATGCCAGGTGATAAATGCCGGGGGCTGGGGAGCTCCTCTCTGTGTCCAGAGCTGAAGGGCAGTAAAGGCCGGTGGCTCCATGCCACACAGCGAGCTGGCCACGGAGCTGGGGCTGGAACCCAGGCCGGGGTGCCCAGCCTCCACTCTGCTCTCCACCAAGCCCTTGGGAGGCCTGGCTGGGGTACTTTAAAGGGGGTGCTTCTGAGTAACTTGGTTTTCCTCATCCATCCCCAGGGAGTCCCCAGGTCTGAAAGACTGAGGAAGCTACTGCGCCCATTGTGCCCCTGGGGCCACTGCGGCAGGACCTGCCTGAGGTCAGCAGGGCTGAAACCAGGGTTGGACGGCGGAAGAGGACCCAGGTTGGCCCAGCCAGTCTGTATCCTGACCTGGGCCTGGAGCTGGAGCAACAAGTCTACAGACAGCATTGACTTATCCCTGCGGATCCTCACCCAACCGACAGAGGGCCAGGCGGGCCTCCCCTCCTGCTGCATGCAAATCTGCCCGGGTGCCTCTGCTCTTCCGGCCCCCCTGCCTCCTCCCAGAGCCATCCTGGTACTGGGGGGTGAGGGAGAGCAGGACGCATATGGGGTAATGGGAAGCGGGAGAAACCTACTTGTGTGGGTTCAGGGATCTGTGTGGCCCGCTCCCTGACTTCTCTGGGCTGTTGTTATATCCTCTTTATAATGAGGGGGCAGAGGGACAATAGCGATTCTGAGCAGGAAAAGGACAGGCATGCCATTCTCCCTTATTCTAAATTCAAAGTTAAGTGGTCCAACCAAGATCCAGTGGCCAGACACACACAAAATTATTTTAGGGAAATTGAGTCTTTCCTGGAGCCCAGAATGAGATCCCTCTGTAACCTGGCAGCCTCAGCCCGGGCACAGCCTTTCCTCCATGCCACCCTTGGGAACAGAGACCACATCCCTACCCTCAGCCCACCCACTCTGAAGGCCTCACACCATCCAGTGTCCCACCCCCTGCGGCGGTGTCCCTGCCTGGTCACACACAGAACAGATGCTAAAACAAGCACAACCTCCACCTGTCCCCAGGGCTCCTCCCTTTTCCCCCCACTCCCTACCCCTCCCCCCTGCCCTTGCACCTGCTCTCCGAAGGTCTTAGCTGCCTATGGTTTGCCCAGCAGCCATGGGCCGGCTCCAGCCAGGCCAAACAGCAAACTTCTCTGCACTCCAGGAGGCTGACCAGTACCCTGTCCAGGGAGGTCTGAGTCCTTCCAAGTCTTCCCTTCCTGGATTCTCTCCCTCAGCTCTTGAGTCCCACATAGTTTCCTTCTGGCTTAGAGTTACTCTTTTCCCATAGTTCCTCATTCTTCATACTAAACGTCCCCGGGTTAAGCTAGTCCTTAGGGACTAGGCCAGCTCTCTGTCCACAGACAATGGCCTCCTTCTGGGCACAGAGCGTGACTCTGGCACCTCACCCCCTCCTCCTAAAAGTACATTATACAACAGAGTACATCGTGCTGTGTAACATGCAAACAAAGACCTAGCTGGTTGGGAAAGGTGACTGAATAAAAGAATGACATGATAGATGAACGAATGAATCCACAAATGGGTGGATGGGTGTGTGGATTGAAAGGTGGGCAGATGAATAGATGGAAGGAAGATTGGATCATTGGTCTGACTGCTTAATAGATGGACCTTAAATGTTGAGCTCAGGATCTTCTTATAGGTTGTTACTACCTTTATGGCTGTGTCTGTGTTAGGGCTGTAGGCAATACAATCCTTAAGGGCCATTCGTAAGCTTCCCACCACAGGAGAAGAAGGACCAGGAAAAA